CTCATATTTGGGAACAAAAATACAAAATACATATATAGCTGCTTCCATTTTTAGCTATCTTTTTTGTATTGCTCTTCAATCAAATTTTTTGTATTATCTAGTACTACCTCCATCCAACTAACATTGAGACATGAGAAGACAGTGAGATTATTAATAAAAGTAAGTGTATATAGTTGAATTGATATTGACTCGATAAACTTAAATAAGGTAAGAATGATTTAAAAACTACACAAATTTTTATCAAATTAACGATCTTAATCAGCGGGACACTCCAAAAGAGAAAGGCGAGACAATCTCAACGGGGTGGAGGGAGTAACGGTTAATATAGACATGTAATAATTTTATTTAAAAATCACATAACAAATCTATTCTAATATAAAAGCAAAAGAAATTTGAGGAATAGTGTTCCCTCCAAGAAATGTCAACATCAAGTTCTATTTTAATTTTCATCAAAAAAATTGCAAAAAAAATGTGTAAAGATTTCAGTCTCATTTGAGGTTATGTTCCTATTGGACAAAAAAGAGGCTGGAATGGGTCGCATTAAAAGGGTTGGTGCGTAGAAGTTAAGAACAGTCACATTTTCAATACTGCATTCCCATTGGTTAAAAGGTGGGCACTGTTGACAATAATATAGTTAGATCCACACGGAAGAAATCAAATTTTGAGAGCTCCTATTGGTTAAAATAGAGGTGGGCACTGTTGACAATAATATAGTTAGATCCACACGGAAGAAATCAAATTTTGAGAGCTCCTGTTGGTTAAAATGAAGGTGGACACACTGAATGGGACTTCAAGCAGTTTTTCATCTCAGCTATAAAAAGCAACCATCGGCATAACACTTCCCTCGCCAAATCATTTGTGCTCAACCTATAAACCAAATCAATCAACTCCATGTGTTAGCAACCAAAGTTCAGACTTCAGAGTAAGAAACTGGCTATAAATAATTAAATATAAACATCCAGCGGATTTTTTCATTCACGCTGAAGCCCCTTGCAAGCAACCTCTCCCTTAAGCTTGGTATTTCATCAATATGGTTGGAGCTAACAGGGTGTATTGTGTGCCAGCTCACAACGGTTACCTTGAAGTCAAATTGTTTGCCATAATGTGAACTGTCAAGGTTTTACATTTTATACGTAGTATGTTTTAATTCCATCTTCATTCAATATAAATTTTTCTGTTCTATAACTGTTTTTTTCAGGTTTAGCTAATGTGTATTCGGTACTTAAAAACTGAGAACAAGTTAGTTTAGTACAACACATGAGAAGTTGTAACACTCAGAATGTTAAATGTTGAATTTTGTGACTTATTCGGTCAGCTAATGTATGGCCGTATGGGATTGAAGAGCATTATGAACTATATATCTCGCTGTGTGTGTGAGTTTGTGATAACATATAAAAAATTAAAAATCTGAATGGTGCATCACATATCCGAAATCCATCGTTTATCTAATTATTACAATATTTATAAAAAAGAAACTCAAATGGATACAACCAAAGGATGTTCATGTAGTACAATGTCACAAGAAATGATGATCTGAGCCGCTGCATGTTACAATGTCTTTAGCAACGTTTGGACTCATCAGAACTTGATAAGCATATATTTGATGACGGTATGCTATCGATCAATTACAAACTCAACTTTTTAAGCCAGATATATGGTGTTCTTCAATGAAGAAGTCATCATTAGACATATGGTGTTTTAGTACATTAAAAAAAAGCACCTATAATTATATGAAATATTATGTACCATAAATTTAACTTCTATACCATGAATTAGCTAATAGAAAAATCTTGAAACAATTTTCGTAAATAATTAAAATGTAAATACTTCTAAGGATTTATTGCTTTTGGAAAAATCATAACTACAGAAAGTAGTGAAAAATTCAACTAGACAAAGTATTTTGGGATCTGGGTTTTGTATTCATTTCACAGAAAATATATATTTAAATAAAAAATCACATTTAATTTCTTATTGTTATTTTCACTCTGATTACTGTTAAATTACCGCCTTTTAAAAATTATTGTTTGACTGAATAAATGTTTTTACATAGATAACTCGATTTTTTACCATAAAAAAAAACATTAGGGGTACTCCGTATTACCCAACTTCAAATTAACTAATTAACATGTTGTCAGGAAAAAAAGCCTACAAATATTTTAACTTTATATACTGTTTAAGTCATTCTTTTCAATACTCCGTATAATATTAATATTCATTAATCTAATATCCATTATGCAAACCATTCTTCGTATATGCCATTATTTTATGCATGGTGGGAATCATTTTATTATATCACATTCTGCATAATATATTTTCACCCAAAAAAATACAGATTAGTTAACAGACCCAAGAATTAAAATTTGCATTTTCATATGTCATAAATTTTTATAACTTATGATATAAATATAATTTATTATAAAAACATAACTAAGAGTCTTTGTATCGGTTTATTTTTCAAATAAAATCACTCAATTTAGGTCTTTTTTAAATTAATTCATACAGGATCTGTGTTTTATGTAGTGCAGTGAGTTTTTAATAAAATATATATCAAAAAAATGGAAATGACAAAAATTCGAACCATAAACAAAGCTCTTCAAGATCTATTTTGTTTGGATGACCAATTTAAAAGAATAGGGCACGTTTTTGGTTGCTTATTCGTGATAAACTTCAAAGAGAGCGTTTACAGATCCATGGCCATGGAATTTCCAGATCTGTAAAGTTGTATGTTGTAGTGAAAAAAGGGTTTTATTTTGTTTATTCTTTAAAAACATGAAATAGACGAAGGGTTGCGTGTAGGGGAAGGGAAATGAACTTACCGTTGCGGTCTGACTCAATGAGCGGATTGATGCCCTACTGTGCCGATGTTGGTTCGTCTGTGGCTTCACGGTGGGATGAGGGATGTGAAGACGGAGATGATGTTCGAGAACCATTTTGTTTCTCCAGTCGATTGGATAAACCGCGGTTGATAGTCGTGGTTGGAGTTCAAAGAGGAGGTAATGTCGATCTGGCTAGGCGTCGGCGAAGAAGGTTCGAGGGAGGAGTCGTTTTCTGCGTTTTGTTGTAAACGCACTTACTTGGTAAATTGGGTTTAGATGGATTATTGGGCTCCTTCTGCGGCCCATTTAGTTGCTGAATGCAGAACACAAGGGCAGCTCTGGATGGGCCGTTCAAATTGCTTTGCTTTCTTCTTTTTTTATGAATGCCCAAATCTGTGGATTTAAGTTTTAATTTTTGGGTTCTGGATTAAAAATATAAATTTTTGTTTCATAAATTATAGGTGCGGACAGTTATTTTAAAGTGTAAATCATCTTTCATAGATAAGATAAAATAACGTGGATGTCCGCTTCTATAAAGAGAAAAGGGTCTAATAGATAATTCTGTATTTTCGAACTATCAGTTAAGCCCGACCGTGAACAAAATGTCATTAAATTGTATTTAATTTTAAAAAATGCCCAAAGTACCTGTGTAACCGCTTTTTTGGGGCAGTTACCTATGTTTAACGTTAGTAGCCTAACAAGTATATTGCTTTATGGATAAATTACAAATAATTACAAGTGCGAAAATATATTTTGGCGCTTTTCGGAATTCTTTACTGAGCACAAAAAAATTTGAAAGAAATATTCTCCAACCTTGCCATGTACGGGTAGTGCTGGACTCGGGCCGGGCGGCCCGAACCGGAACCGGCCCGGTTACTGTGTGAACCGGCCCGGCCCGGTGGCCCGGTCCACCGGCGGTTCGGGTCAAACCGGCCCGGTGGATACCGGTTCCGGGCCCGGGCCCTCTATTTGGTGAACCGGCCCGGCCGGTTCGGGCCCGGTCCGGGCCGGAATAATTTTTTTTTTAATTTTTTTTGAAATTGTTTTAATTTTTGGGTTGGATTAGGTATTTTGGGCCATTTGAGGTGGTTTGGGGTGGTTTGGGGTTGATGGGGAGGGGTAGGGGGTTAAATAAGAGAAGCCAAAAAATCAAAAAAAAAAAAAAATGGGGCGGGTGAACCGGCCCGGTCTGGCCCGGAACCGGTCACCTGCCGGTTCGGGCCCGGGCCCTCCTTTTGGTGAACTGAGGCCCGGCCGGTTCAAGGCCCAAACCGGGCCCGGCCCGAACCGAGTCCAGCACTATGTACGGGTGCTATACTAGGTTTAGGTAAATAAAAAAGATGGTGTGTAATGGATGTTCAAAACTTTTACCATTTTTCATTTAATTTGAATAAAATTAAAATTAATATTTGGCGTTATATTTGTGCAATGAGTTATCTAAAGTGTAATACATTTTTTTGTCAACTACTCCATACAAAACTAAAAATTGCATTTTAAAATAAGTAGAATTTATTAGATTTGTACACTCATAATTGGATGTTTTTGATCTTTTAATTAATGCTTAGTACTCTCCTTTTAATCATAATATTATAAGTATGTTTCGTTTATTGCTTTGAGCTATATTAATATTGCATGTCATCAATTGATAGTGTAATTTGAATTAGTGAGCACAAATAAATTTGAAAGAAAAATTCTCCGGCCCTGCATCACACGGGTGCTCTCCTAGAAATCAAGAATATAAATGTCGTTCAAATTTGAGCATTGTTTAATAATGTCATAACACACTTTCACATATTCGCCCACCCCCTGATTTGCCAATTTACCCGGGCAATTCGTATAAAAAATGCAATTCGTATAAATGCAAAGTTACCATATTACTTGAGATGTTTATACTTAGACTTATTTCAGTCTCAGACCAAACAAATCTTAAACAAACCAGACCAGACCATACTTGGATATTAGAAATAGTAGAAGCACCTATTTGAATATTTTCCCACAAATTTAGATTCAAGTATAATTCAAGAATGACATAACACACTTTTACATATTTTACTCCCTTATTTTACCTATTTAGAGAGACAATTCATCTAAAAATGCAATCCGTGTGAATTTATAGTCACCTTATTACTTAGTCATTATAAATAATTTATCTTCAACTAATTTATATAAACCTTTGATTTTCGACAGGTGTTGCCGGATACCTTATGGGAGTAGACAGTATCTAAATTGCCGGTCATAGCAATTTTGACACTGACACTGGCTGTGGTTGAAACTGTTATTGACTATATGATGGCTCTTAATGTTGGTGAAGTTTCGAGAACATATCTTAGTTCTGACAGTGTACGTTTCTAAGGTAGATTCTACGACCGATCTAATGGCGGAACTGCACACACCTGAGTTCTTGAATAATATAAAATTGTCCGGTGAACTGAATAATGAGTTAACATTAAAAGTAGTGACCCTGATGGTGCTTTTGCGAAATATCGATCATTCAATGGGGTTGTGTAACGGGACACATATTATTCTAACGAGGCTCGGTGATCATGTTTTGGAGGACAAAATTTTAACTGGTGTGAGTGCTGAACAAAAAGTACTAATTCCTATATTGTCCTTGACGTCATCCGATGCCAGCTTGCTTTTCAAATTTCATAGGCGACAATATCCTATTATGACTTCATATGTTATGACTATAAATAAAAGTCAACGTCAATCTTTGTCCCGTGTTGGGTTGTTGTTGAAAAAATGGTATTTACCCACGAACAGTTGTATGTTGTAGTATCAAGGGTTACCAATCGTTGTGGTTTGAAAATTCTAATTGTCAATGAAGATGCAGGAACCACTTACAAGACTCAGAATGTTATATTCAAAGAAGTGTTCAACAATGTTTAGGTTTACATTAAATGCATATTTACAATGATGGTTTCAACGTATTTGTTGGATGTTTTGATCTTTTAAGTAATGCTTAGTACTCTCATTTTGACCTTAATATTATAAGTGTGTTTCGTTTAATGATTTGATGTATATTAATATTACATGAAGGTAGATGTTGTTATCAATTGATAGTGTGATTTGAATTACTAAGCACACATAAATTTGAAAGAAAAATTCAAAAAAAAATTCTCAGGCCGTGCATCGCACGGGTGAGTTTACTAGTATTAATGTTATAAGAAAGATCATGAAAAATAATTTCATTTTATATTTTTTTTTAACATAAATCATATGATACATAAAAATGTTAATTATTATGATTTCTAGATTAAAATTAATAATAAAGCTCCAACTAGTCCACGTGTTTAACATCTCCACATGTAATATGTAATACGTAGTAATTAATATGGGGTTTGTCCTCAAATCATACTAATTAAAAGCACTTGGACAAAAAAAGAGACTTTTCTTTTAAGTTCAAAAAATAAGACTAAATAATACTTAAGGGACTGTTACACCCTTACTAAGCCCAAACCCACTGGCCTGCTACAGTAACCCGTCACAGTGACCAAATGTGCAGTGACCAATGTTATAGTTACCAATGACATAGTTACAAAATTCATCCTGTGACATAGTTACAAAATTCATCCAGTGACAGTGACCAATGTCACAATGACCAGTGACATAGTTACAAAGTTCGTCACCCCTAATCCACCAGTGAGTCAGTGACCAGTAATCAAATGCCGCCGCTAATGACCATTTCCCCGTTACCGCCGCCAGAGACGAGTACCCCGCCACCCCCGTCAGTGACCAGTTGCTACCCCCCGCCACCAGTGACCAGTCCCCCTCCACCGCTAGTGAACAGTACCTACCTCAGCCACCAGTGACCAGTCCCCCTCCGCCGTCAGTGACCAGTACATACCCCCGCCACCAGTGACCAGTACCTATCCCCGCCAGTGACCGGCCCTTTGCCCCACCCGTGACCTATTCGCACTGACACCAGAGAGCGGTCCACGACGCCGCAAGTGGCCAGTAGGGTCAGTGACAAGTCCACGCCGCCGTCAGGGACCAGTCCTCCACCGCCGCTAGTGACCCATCTCTACTACCACCAGTGACCAATCTCGTGCCGCTATTAGTGACCGGTCCCGCCACCGGCCAACACCGTCGGACACCACCGCCGACTATCACTACTCCATCAGTCACAACCCCATCCTTGCCCCTCTCCTGTGGCCTGCGTCACACAGCCCCCTAGCCCCCCACTATCCTCGGCCCCTGCCCAACCCCTCCCCAGCCTCAGCTTAAGCCCTACTCCCAATCTAGTCCCAGCTCAAGCCCTGGCCCAGATCCACTCCCTCCCCGCCCCCCTCCCAAGACCTAGCCTTAGCAGTCAGCACGATGACTAATCTGCAACCATCTTGATGCTCGCACCATCTCGATCTGTTTCCGAAATCGGCGAAGAAGAGATCAAGCCCTGTTGTCGTTCCCATCCTTATTGCCGTCGTCATCAATTGCCTGTCATCAATCGTTCAAGGCGGAGAAGACGAACGATGGCGACCAGATAAATGAGAAGGAGGAATTGAAGTTCGTAGAGATGAAGTGTTGCTGCGGTGGCTGGGCGGTGGTGGAGGAGGACAAATCTGAGAAGGATCGGTCGATGGTACTGCTTGCGGATGGAGGAGAACTGAGGATGCGGCTGGAGGAGAACGAAGGGTTAGATTCTTCATTTGAGGGCATTTGAGTCCATCAATTAAAATTTGGTCTCTTTTTTGTCTTATTTTAAAACAATTCATATATTTGTCAATTGCAATTCTATTAGTAATAATCAGGTCATTCTTTCAATTAATATATGACGTATAAAATTGGTAAAGATAATAAAAATTCCTCTTTGAATTAAAAATCAAAAGCCTACTCATGAAAAAGTAGTGGATTCGCCCACTCGGAACTGGGAGTTCCGACTAAGAAGCATTCGTTTGGAATTTTTTGATAAACCCTCATTTAGTCGGAAAGGTGATTTCCGAATACCGTAATTTTGGAAAACTTAGAATAAGTCCCGTTATTTGGCACGTCATGCAAGCAATTCCCGTGTTTTAAGAAAAGACCCGAATTGCTATTCCATCTCAGCAAATGCACTTGATGAATAAGCTTGTCCTCTCCGATGCAATAAAGAATAATTGAAGTGCAGCTGATGTGACAAAGGAAAAAATGGAACAAGGTCTCATACAAAGTCCATCTATGGACTTTCGGTTGCACCCTATGACACGATGCAATATAAATTATTGAGACTAATTGCATAAATATAACCAAAATAAAGATGGTTTACAAAAATATGAGTAGTTACTAGAGTAGTAATGAAATCTTAGTAATTTATGTTCAATTTTTGAACTTAAGTTACCACAACATTACATTGTAGTAATGAATAGTCACATTTATATAAATCAGTTTTATTTTAGTAATACTCTTATAAAATACTCTTATTTTTTTATTCTCTATTTTCCATTTTTTTTCTTTTGCCCTTAGCTTGCGTTTGTTTGCCTTCTCTACACAGCAGTGGTCTTCAATGGACCTTGCTTTTTTTTTTTGTAAATTTAGTCTCATTTGAACATAGACCCTCTCACAAATTTTGCCACCTCACTTGCAATCTACTTAGAGCATTGGAGTTGCTTTAAGTACATATCAATCAGTGCGATGCATAATAATACTCCGTATGTGATAATAAAACTTTATTAACACAATTTCAATGCATAACTTGTACGGAGTATTTAAAAAGTAAGAAAAGTAATTAATTCAGTATTGTAGCTAATAGTTCTTTTCCTAATACAAAGTAATTAACTTAAGTAATTCCATTTTATTTTCGTACATATTTTTTCATATGCAAAATGCAATTACTTTGTACTACAATATTAAATTTGTTTAGTGACACCAGTTATTGTTAGTATAAAATAAAAACCTATAAAATACGTAGTAATAAATATAATTTTCAAAGTAAGTCGTGTGGATCTTATGTTTCTTTAGTAATAAGATTTCAGTGATTAGTTTTCCCATACGATCCTAATAAAAATTATTAGATTCTATTACAACATAGAGAAAAATAATTCAAATTCCCCAAATTTTGAATAGATATGAGGTGAACACCACAAACTTACATTGTAATATAAATATTTAGAACTTTATATAAAATGTTATAATAACACGGTGATCATAAAAAAACGTGATGATCATATGTTTTTTTCTTTCAAAGTAATTCATGGTGCTATGATAACTTTTTGTATAAAGTTCGGGGTATATATACTACATATATACAAGTTTAATTAGGTACTTACCTCACTCTTTCAAAGTTTAGAGCATTTAAATTATTTTTCTCTAAAAAACATATATGCATGAAAATATTGGTTTATTGAAGCATAAGTGGTAATGGTTTAAAATAACTGATATAGTTTTTTCTGATGACATTTAAATTTTATTAATAAAGTTTCTTTAGAAATCATGTTTAAGGAATTGAAATAATACTCATTAATATATAAACAAATTAATATACCATTTGTAATTTTATTGTATACATATTTTTTTACTTCAAGTGAGGAAAAACTGTGAACAAATAAAACTTGACCAAATTTCCCAATTCATTGTTTACGAGCTTGTTTCAAACCATGGGGAGATTGAACATTTTACACACTTTGTGTTAAAGATTAGTAACTACATGACACTCAAGTTGTAGCATATAAATTTCTTTTTGTTCATCGTTTAAAATGTTGTTTGACATCCATTTGATGAATAAAATGTTTTTGAATAGGAGCCAAAGCAATTAAAGTTCTAATGGGGTGAATTCTTGTTACCCCATTAATATCAAAATCATCAATATCTTATTTTTGAGAAAACTCTTTTACTAAAAGCCTTGCTTTATACTTCTCAATTGAACCATCCAAAATCATTTTCTTTTTAAGAAAATGGTTTATATTTGATTGGTTTACGAGCTTTAGGCAAGTAGTTATTTGATAGAACTTCTTTATATTTCAAGTTTTGTTTTGTTTGATAGAATCAATTTCATTTTGTATGATTCAAGTGAAAAGGGTGCTTGGTGAAGAAATAGCTTATGGGTAGTTCAATGGTTTATTATTTATTATATATCTATAAAATCATTTTGAAAAGATTATTCTGTGGTTGGGAATAGAAAAATAGAGAATTCGTCATAATTAGTTTTTGAAAGAGTCACTATCACTATATTGGTTTATTGAAGCATAAGTGGTAATGGTTTAAAATAACTGATATAGTTTTTTCTGATGACATTTAAATTTTATTAATAAAGTTTCTTTAGAAATCATGTTTAAGGAATTGAAATAATACTCATTAATATATAAACAAATTAATATACCATTTGTAATTTTATTGTATACATATTTTTTTACTTCAAGTGAGGAAAAACTGTGAACAAATAAAACTTGACCAAATTTCCCAATTCATTGTTTACGAGCTTGTTTCAAATCATGGGGAGATTGAACATTTTACACACTTTGTGTTAAAGATTAGTAACTACATGACACTCAAGTTGTAGCATATAAATTTCTTTTTGTTCATCGTTTAAAATGTTGTTTGACATCCATTTGATGAATAAAATGTTTTTGAATAGGAGCCAAAGCAATTAAAGTTCTAATGGGGTGAATTCTTGTTACCCCATTAATATCAAAATCATCAATATCTTATTTTTGAGAAAACTCTTTTACTAAAAGCCTTGCTTTATACTTCTCAATTGAACCATCCAAAATCATTTTCTTTTTAAGAAAATGGTTTATATTTGATTGGTTTACGAGCTTTAGGCAAGTAGTTATTTGATAGAACTTCTTTATATTTCAAGTTTTGTTTTGTTTGATAGAATCAATTTCATTTTGTATGATTCAAGTGAAAAGGGTGCTTG